AATATAAAAATCAAAGCCACCCCCACAGTATCAAATGAACTTATCATTTCTGTGTCAAAAGCGCCATAAAACATCTACTATGCCATGCCAAAGTCCACGCGCTTTAACTAAGCATAATAGGATATTCAACAGTGGTAACCTGACCAATGAATCGCTCTTTGGGATAACCCAAGTGATGATGACACTCGTAGAGAGTTTGGCGGTACATTTATATTAATGAGACGGCACATCTCAAATGTTCACCGACGTAACTTAGCCCACAGTAGTCAGTCTAAAAATAAACGCGATAGACTGCACACTATTCTATGCCAAAATTATGTGGTCCCCGGAGCAATTCAGCGAAGTGCTCAAGTGAATTGTGATTGGTTCATTGTCTTGCCACTATTTAAAGGGACTCTGTGACCGTGAACCTGAGGGAGGTGAACGTGGCATACTTAAGTCACCATCCTGCGTCCTGTGAGTTGTGCCTTTGAATGGTTTCGCAGCAGAGCGGTGAAATTTATTACGTGAGAGTTCAGTTCCAATGCAGGATGCAGAAACTGATGTTAAGCAAACAAACAGATTTAGTTCTAGAATTCAAAGCGACAATCTATTTACTATGCCCTTGACTATCTATAGCTTAATTGTGCACGCCCACTTTTTAGCCCCACGAGCCACTCCTGCTTCTGACCCGCTATTTCCGGGTGCCTTGATAGTCGAAGCAGATTTTGTGCTGTTGAAGCTAAAGAGGAGAGCAGAGTAAATCTGATTCCCTGTAAGGACTTCCCTGTTGACATCCACCCCTTGGCGCTCATATGACCTTATGCAGCTGCGAGTGCCATACAATCTTACTAAAACTATCTTTTAAAATAAATAAACCAAATTTATCCAACGAGCATTGTGTGATAATGATAGAGTCGTCCATATTTTCTTTCTTTCCTTAGCTTTGCATTGGCTCTGACCTCCGAAAACATTGATCAAAATTTGTATTTTCATGTAGAGCACTCAGCATTGAACAATAATACATATAAAAGAAAAAATAATAACAATTGAATAAAACCTATGTTCACGATACAATAAAAAGTATCTGCATAGTAATATATATTATATTGTATAAATCCGTGTGTGTGTGTGTGAGTGT